TATACTCTAAGGAATTTACACTGTGACACTTATTTTGTGGCTCAGTGGTCATGGATCTCATGAAAACTATGTTTTGGATGGACAAGATTGTTAGCTTTATTCTTTACTAGATGCAGAGGGCTTTTACAAAATAGAAAATTTACCAAAATTTAGCCTCTTGGCTAAGTTATCCTTCAGATAATTGATGTATTCCAATTTTATTGTCTTTTTTCACTTATGTAGTGTTTTATGCCAAAAATGATATATTTAACTATATATGTAGTCATTGAGGGTAATAATTAAGCAAAATGATACCATTCATATTATATTAACAATAACAATAGCATTTGATAATGTTATAAGCAAAGTGGCAAATTAAAATCTAAAAGATTCCAAGGGTATCATAATGTATTCCATGGAACATTATCTGAGGGATGGGTCTATGGAGGCTTGAGGGTTGGACCAGAAATTTAGAGCAATATTCCCACTGCCTATGCATACGTAGTCACATTACAGGAAGACACCCATATCAAAGACACAACCATTCTCTCTCTTAAAACAATTTGAAGATTTCAACGTATGTGGTACAGAAAGAAGAAAAAAAATTGGTTTGAAAACTCTGAAATGAATAACAATCAGAATAGAAAAGACAAGAGCCCTGACATGCTTTCTGTCAAAAAACAGGGACCCCCTTGCCTCTGAATAAAGCAGAGCTGGAAAGGCAGGATTAAATCTTCCACCTCTTTTGGTGCTTAGAAGACCAATTTTTCTTTAGGTGGATTTGTTTTCCATAAACACAGTGCAGTTCTTGCCTATAGAACAACTGAAACTGTCCGTACATATAGAGTCAAGTTTTTCTCACTAGGAGCCAAGAAAGCAATGAGGGGGAAAAGTGGTCATTGGAAAACAGCATATTTACATAGAAAAATATTTAAAAAGAAGCTTTGACTTTTTTGCACATTATATAATAAAATCAATTCAAAGTTCATTGTAGTTATATAGAATTATGAAGGCATTGGAACAATAATTTAACCTTCCACCTGATAATAAGAAAAGGAAGAAAAAAATTAAAAAGAAACAGTGATTAGATAAACATATAAAAGCAGAAGTCAAAGAAATGAAAAAAAAAAAAAAAAAAAAAAAAAAAAAAAAAAAAAAAAAAAAAAAAAAAAAAAAAAAAATAGAAAAAAAAAAAAATCAAAAAAAAAAAAAAGAAAAAAGAAAAACAAAGAAGCACAGTTTCATTAATTTCCATTAAGATCAATAGAATTGACAATTATCTGTACAGACTGATCAGGAAAATAAAAGTAAGGATACAAGACACCAGTATTAGGAATTGCAGTTGGAATATTGCTGTAGCCTGTATGAATATCAAAAATAGAAAGAGGAATGTCATGGAAATCTTTAGGACACATTCCGCAGCTTAGATAAAATAGACAAATTCCTTGAAAAGATAAGGTTTCAAATAGTAGATATCTGTTAATAAATAGCCATATATCTATGAAAATTGTGTAAGTAATTAAACATTTTTCTCCCAAATAAACTTTAAGCTGAGATGTTGGTGAATTATCCTAAATGCTTAAGGAAAAAAGGTATTAATTTTATACATTCTTTTTTTACCCAGAAGAGAGAATAGAGGGGATCACTTCTCATTCTTTTTATAAGACAAATATTACTCTGACTCTAAAACCAGATAAAGGCATTACACAGGAACTTCAGGCCTAGATCGCTTATTAGCATAAAAGAAAAAGATCTTTAACTGTATGTTATCACATTGAAGTCACTGATACATAAAATGGATAATATATTATAATCAAGGCAGTTTATCACAGAAATGCAAGCTTTGTCCAATGTTCTAAAAAGCAATAAAGGCAAATCACCAAGATAAAAGCCTACAGGAGAAAAATGTAATGTGAACAGATTAAGAAAATACATTTGACAAAATTTAACATTAATTTATTACATAAAATAAAAGTTCAGTAAGATAAAAAATAAACACATCTTTAACCGGATAAAATTCATCTTAAAAACCTATAGGAAACATCATACTATAAATACTGAATGATTTTTTTCTATTTTATAGGCAAGATGTCTATGTTCACACTTCCATACAACGTTGTACTAGAGTTCTTAATCAGTGCGATGTGAAAAGAAAAATCCTTACAGATACAGGTTACAAAAGAAGTTAGCTTTTTATTCACTGCTCTTATGTATACATGTGTAGAATATCTTAGCAAACCCATAAACAGCTACAGTCAGCTATAAACAGCTATAAATGCACATCTAGCTGAATCATGTTATAAGATCAATATGCAAAACTCAAATGTATTTCTGTATACTAAAAATAAACAATATGGAATTGAAGATAATTTATCATAACTTCAAAAATTAATACACATTAGAATGTGTTGACCAAATTAGTTGTATACGATGAATATTTAAAATATTGGTATGAGAAATTTTAAAAGAATTTAGTACATGCAAAACATATTATATTCATGTATTGGAAGGCTCAAAATTATTATGATGTAATTTATGACCGAATAGATGTAAATATTAAATGTAACTTTAAAACCCCAACCGGCAATTGTTTTGGTAAAGACTTTATCAGACTCACTACAAAATGTATGAAAAACACTCTTTAGGATAACAACAAAATTTGAGGACTTTCAGTACTTGACTTTAAGACTTACATTAAGCTATTGTAATGAAGATAGTGTTACATTGCCAAGAATAGACAAGTAATCCAACGGAAAAAAACTAGTGAGTTCAGATATAGAGCTAAATGTAAAGGGTCAATTAATTTTAATAAAATGACTGCCCAGAAGTTGCCCTGCATATGCGTGATCAAGTGTGTTAACTCAAAGATATTTAAGGGGATAGAAGCTAAGGTAATTTAATGGGGAAAAGAATAGGCTATCAATCTATGGTCCTTGAAAACTGGACTTTATTTTTAGTTGTATATGCTAACATTTATTTATTTACTGACTTTTTTTTTTACTTATTTATCTATTAATAATTTCAGCTATGGTTTTAGATTCAGAGGGTATATGCACAGGTTTGTGATACTGGTGAATTGCATGTCACTGCAGTTTGATGAACAAATGATTTCAACACTCAGGTAGTGAGCATATATCTCATAATGAGTTTTTCGACTCTTACCCTCTTCCTACCTTCTGCCCTCAAGTAAGCCCAGGTGTCTATTGTTCCCTCTTTTGTGTCCATGTGTATTCAATGTTTACCTCCCATTTATAAGTGAGAACATGTGGTATTTGGCTTTCTGTTCCTGTGTTTATTTGCCTGGGATAATGGCATCCAGCTGCATCCATGTAGCTATATGTAAAGGACATGATTTCACTCTTTTATATGTCTTCATAGTATACTGTGGTGTACATGTACCACGTTTTCTTTATCTTATCCACCATTGATGAAGATTACCTGGCAAAAACAAACTTTTAGGGAAATGGAAATGTTCTGTATCTTTATTGTGGCAGTGGTTCTATGGGTCTATACTGTTGACAACATTCAGTGAATTGTTCAAGTATAATCGGCATATATACACACATACACACACGTTTATATATACACACACATTCAATAAAGTTGATTAAAAATGAAGATGGAAAAACAATTTAAATTTGCCACTGAGTCCTCTCATTTTGCTTCCTGACAATAAAAGTTTGAAGGCCCAGATCTCTGTCCCTTTTAGTTCAAGCTAGTTGTGGAGTTTTCTTTCATACAACATTTATAAAATCTTTGTGAGTTTCCTATGAATCTGATCAGAATTCACATCATGTCCCAAAGCCAGACCCATAATTCTTTCTGAAGTAGATTCTTTCATGCTTTGGTCCTCCTGTGAGACAGCTGCAGACAAGGCCCCAATGATTCCTGGAAGCCCTTTTGATAACCCTAGCTGAAAGAGGCTACTTAGCACTGCTGTCAATCTTTGAGTCCTTTAACGTGTATCTTATAGCTACAACCACATTTCAACTGTACATGAATGTCTTTTACTTAGAGAATCTTCTAAGCATAAGAATATTTTTAAATTTTATTCTCCAACCAAATTACCCTAAGTCTTCTCTGTTGTTACTATATTTTACTTAACAACTGAACACCACTGAGGAAAGGATATTCTAAACAAACCCAGTCAAGAATTTCAAAGGAGTCATAGGCATCAGTGTAAATATCCAAGGAAAAAGCTGAAATGTATTTGCACATCTGTCCTGACAACATAGAACCGATGCCTTCTTCTGTAACGCTTTAACAAGAAGGATAACTCTTAAACTATTGCAGTGTATAATTTTTCTACAAAAATCTATTTCTCTATAGGAGGATGACCTAGGCCACTTCAGACAGAGAAGAGTAAGAGAACAAAAACATTTAGTGCAAACTATGCTTTAGATTCTAGGTACATCAACATCTTTGGGCATTTTTGATCCCTTAATTCTATCCCCTTTTCTGACACTACTTCCTCTCCCCTGTCACCTCCCATCCACCAGATAGTCTCATGCAGTAACAGGGATTATTTTACTAACGGAAGTGGGCTTTTTCTGACAAAAGTGAAAGTAACATAACACAGGGGTTTTCTTGGTGAAAGAGTGCTGACAATACTTTTATCTTTCTACCTATGTGGTTTAGATTCATATCATACTAGAATATCATTCTCTACTTAATTTCTATTTTTTAATTAGTACATTAAAAATATGATAAAAAACCAATTAAGCAATGATAAACCAAATCACATAATAAGGACAGAGGAAGAATGAAGGCTAGTTATTAATCTGGTTCTACTACTGTGTAAGTATGGAATATGGTGAGGGTAAAATGAAATGACTTGGTGCAGGGCAATAATATAATAATGAAAGCACTTGAGAGTAGGAGAGATAAATGCAGGAAGGAACACTGTAACTTTCTCTTTGACTCGGTACTTCTTTTATGTTGTCCACTCATTTTTTTTTCCTTTCCTTCCTTGCAGGGAGAAGGTCACTGTGATGTGATGGAAAGGCAGAAATCAATAATGGCTGGCTCCTCAGTGATATGAGTCAATCCATCAGACAGAATGATGGCAGTCACCCAGACTTCACAGCCACCACCACCATGCTGGCAAATGTCACATTTGGAATTCATTTGCATAGCTGGGTAGCACTCCCTGTGGAGTTACATTGAACAATTTTGCAGCTGTGACAGCTTGAAATAGAAAAGCTAATGCAACTATCTGTCGACTTCCTCTGTGTCTTGTTTTCCTAAAATCTAGCTGGGAATTCTTGTTACAGAAAGGGGGAGAATCATGTAAAAATGGAAGGGAAACTGATGCAAAGCTTTCAGGTATTTTGTGGAGAATATTATCAGTTACCCGGTATTTCTTGTGGGTTTTTGTTTTGTTTTGTTTTTAGACGGAGTTTGCTCTTGTTTCCCAGGCTGAAGTGCAGTGACGCGATCTCGGCTCTCTGCAACCACCGCCTCCTGGTTTCAAGTAATTCCCCTTCCTCAGCCTCCCAAGTAGGTGGGATTACAGGCATGCACCACCATGACCAGCTAATTTTGTATTTTTAGTAGAGACGGGTTTTCACTATGTTGGTCAATTACCCTGCATTTCAAATTCAACATTCTTTGCCTTTAGTTTCTGCATTCACCTCTGACTATATTTCTCTGCTTTGCTATATTGATTGAAAGGAACAGTACTGCTGGGTTCATTAATAAGCACATTGCCTTTTCCCTGTGGGAGAATGAAGACTTAAGTAACTTTCCTGAAGTTCAGCAATATGGCAAAGTTGTTTTATATTTCTATTTTTAAATATTTTCTTCTATTTACAGTATATTTCTCTCTTCACCTCTCTCTTCCTTGCCCATCCCTCCCTCCCTCTCTCCTTCCCCTTTTCTTTCTCTTTCCACACATACACAACCACATACATACATACACAACCGCATACATACATACACTTACACAGACAGAGCCATGTCGGGGTAATGCATTGTGGAATTAGGCCTTTGATTAATTAATTAACATTTTTACTTATAGAAAGAGTAAGCAGTAATACAGTTAGATGTGTATTCATTTAATTTTTAAAAATTTATTATTGAAGTGCAGCTTATATACTTTTCAATGTAAAGATCCTAAGTATACTGTCTAATAAGTTTGCCAAAAGTATATTCACCCATGTTACCTACACCCATATTAAATTTTATGTTGTTTTCTTCAGCCTAGAAAGTTCCTGCATAAGCTTGCCTAATTAGTTAGTTCACCCAATTCTAATAGCCACTGCTCTGATTTCTGTCACCACAGATGAGTCTTTCCTGTTCTAGCATAAATAGAATGTAGGATAGATGTCAGTGGAATGTATACAATGTGTACTTTCTCTGCCTGTTTTTCCAGTACCCTCAGCAAGAGTTAACTCTCAAACTTGTCCACAATGAACCTCTGGCAATCTGTCAACTGCAGCTAGGGATTTCCTACCCCCATACCAGATCCCACAGTTTTTGTCCCTGGGATTCTGCTCCAGGATCCCATGATTCTCTACATCCACCTATCTTCCAATATTTCAGTCAGTTTTTCACTTTCTGACCTCACGTATCCTCACCTCATGGATCTAAAAAGAGTCATCAATTTTTAGTGGTTTTTTTCAACTTTTTTTTTTGTTGTGAAGTTGCAGTGATGACTTTCAAACTTCCTACATTCCAGACCAGAAACCAGAAATCTCGCAGTATTAATTAAATCATTTAAATTTATCGACTTAGTTTATTGCTCCTTTAGGGTTTTACTTTTTCTTTATTTTGAAGCTTTATAATTAGATAAATAAATGGTTATTGTTTATATGCTTTCCTGATGAATTGGCAATTTTATGATATTAAAATGGCCCCCTTTATTTCTGATGATTTTTATCTATAGTTATAATTTGTCTGAGATTCATTACAGCTACCCCAGTTTTCTTAGGCTCAGCACTTGCATATCATATAATTTTTCACCCTTTTACTTTAAACCTTCCAATATCTTATATTAAGAATGCTTCTTATAAATTACACATTCTTGTTTGGTTGGATTTGTTTTATTTTATTTTTTTTGATTTTCATCCAGGCTAAAAATATCTGCATTTTATCCAGGCTATTTAGTCCATTAATTTTAATGCAATTACTGGTTATATTACCCATTCTCTCTAGATAAACTGAAAATTGTTTTGGTATCATTTCTAATATTCTCTATTTGCATTATTGTTTCACCTCTGCATTATATTTTCAATAGTAGTCCTAAAGATTACAATACACATATTTAGCTGATTATAGTTGATTATTCTAATAGTTACTTATCATTAACTTCCTTTCACCAGATAATTTGTGTTTTTATTGATGCATATTTTACTTCTTCAAATATCATAAGCCATGTCATACATTACTATTTTTATTTTGTTTTGCCTGCAGTTCTGGGTTTTCAATCTGGTATAATTTTCCCTCCCCTTGAATAACTTCTTTCAGTATTTCTTGTATGCAGTCTATTTGGGGATACATTTTCTCTATGTTCAGTTATCCGAAATTGTCTTTTTTTAACTTTATTTTTTCAAAGACGTAGATTCCCATACTATGTTCTCATTCTTTAAGCACTTTAACATACGTTTTTATAGTTTCTTCTGGATGAAGTGCTCATAACATATATGAATGTATGTGTAATAAAATGCTTATAAAATAACAGAGAATACATTAGCCTAACCATATCTGAGGAATGTTTTTAAGTTTCTGTTAACACAGTATGGAGTAAAAAACCTAGATAAGTAATCATATATTTTATACTCATACTTCAGTTGTGGCTTTTTTGAGTTGAGCTATATTTTTAGTTCATTTTCAACTTTGAACTTTGTAGAAATAATGGTCTTCTTGTCATGTGTTAACCATTTTCCTCTTTATGTGTTTTATAAGAATAGTAAGAAAGACAAAAGGTTTTTTCACTTAGAGCACTATAGATTTGACTATTACATTTATTTTTAAGTTGTAATATTAAGTGATTATTATTTTCAAAAAATAATCATCAACTGAATTATTTATTGGTAAAGCATCTTTACATAAATAAAATAATATATTACATGTTATGCATATTTTTTAAAAATAAGTAATGCATAGCCATATGTTTTTATCATTTTAGAATATATTCACATGACATAGAAACATTGGTTAAAGATGGTAAATGTTCTTCATTAAAAAGGAACCTAGAAAAACATGTATTAGTTAATTACTTTGGGAAAACTTGGTTGGAGACAAATTGAAAATCTTAACAGTTGTTTTCGCTTTCCCACCTGTACTTCAATGCTCTTCATTAAACCTTGTTGCTGCAACTAAATAAATTTCATATCACATTTATTGACTTTTTCAAAAGCAAGTAAGATACCTTCTCAAATAAACAATGTGAATTTGATAACTTTGTATTATGATAGGTCAAGTGTCAAAACATCAGTATCAGAGAGTTTTTCATGAATCAAATTTCACTAAACTTTCTAGACTAGTGTGGCGAATATGGTGCTTAGAAATACATACATAGTTTCATTGATATTGGGGGTGTGTGGTGAGCATGCTAGCAGAAGCAGTGGTTAAATAAAGCTGATGTGAAAAATATAAATCGCAGAGTTTTGCAATTTTTGGCATGCATGTAAGTAGGATGCATAAATGAGAGTATTCAGGACTCACTTGAGGAGAGTATTTCACTCTTTTGATGATTCCTATTAAACATCAAAATTCCACCATTACCCTTATTTTATCATGAGTCAGATAGCCTTCAGAATAAATGCAAATAGATCTTGCTCTATTTACATATCCAGGCCACCTTACATGCAAGATGCAATCTGCTTATGCAGGTCAAGAGGAAAGCAGAACATTTGAGGGTTGGACCAGCATAAAACTCCCTGGTACATATTTTTTGATATTATATGACAAATTTTTGGTGAGTTTTCCTAATTGCATCTGTATATAATCAAAAGTGATTAAAACTATGAAAAACATGAATTTCTAGATAAAATAATAAAGTTTAATACAAAAAGTATCACAATGCTCCACCTAAACACTCCTAAATAGTTATTCTTATGTTCTGAACATTTGTGTCCTTCCAAAATTTATATGCTGAAACCTAATCAGCAACGTGATGGTATTGGGAGGTGGGGTCATTGTGAGATAATTAGATTGTGAGGGTGGAACCATCATAAATGGGATTAGTGCCTTTATTTTAAAAAGGTCCCTGAGAGTTGCCTGGCCTTTCTACCTGCAAGGACACAGCAAGAACACACCATCTATGAACCAAAAAGCAGGTTCTTCCAGACATGGAGTTTGTCAGTGCTTGATCTTGGACTTTGCAGATTCCAGATCTATGAGAAATAAATTTCTGCATTCATAAGCTTCTCAGTTTAGATATTTTGTTATTTTAGATATTTAGATATTTAGGTAAGTAGTCTAAGACAGTTATGATATTTTAGATATTTAGATATTTTAGATATTTACATAGATCTGATATTTTATATCTAAATTTTAGATATTTAGATTGATCTGATATTTTAGATATTTAGACAAGTAGTCTAAGACAGCTATGAATTCCACTTACATTTTTCCAAGTTGAAATTTTCTCTTTTGATTAAGTACATCATGTATTGGTTATTTTTATACCACTTATTGACCTCTTATTACTTAATTTTTACATTAAGTCATGTATTACTTAATTTTTACATTATATCATGTATTCATTATGCAAACCTTGAGAATTAAGTACTGAGATTAGTCTTGCTATATAGAACAACACAAGCAATACATTATATGACTAATCTAAGAGTCCAGAAGATATTAATGTAGTATCAAAAAGAGGAAGAAAGAATTGTAACTCCTATTATTGCATGCATTAGACAATGTAGTATGCTATTTTTTAAAAAATTTATTTATTATACTTTATGTTGTGTGGTATATGTGCAGAATGTGCAGGTTTGTTACATAGGTGTATACATGCCATGGTGATCTGCTGCATCCATTACCCCATCATCCACATTAGATATTTCTCCTAAAGCAATTTTCTAAAAATTATATTATTTTCTTTAATGCTCATAATAATTGGTTGAGTAAATATTATATTCATCCTACAGATGAGAATAACAAGATTTGCCAAATATTATATAAGCATATGTTGGAAGTCATGCCATAATTAGAGAGAAGAAAAATGAGTCCTTTCTTCCAGGGGCCCCAGTATTGTCCTTCTGTAACCACAGCTCAGTCTACTGTCAATGAGTCTTGGGTAGCAAAAGAATATCCTTTTTTAGGGCCACTACTCCTTACTGTAGTCCATGTTCCAGGTATCCAGGGCCACAGTA